CCGGACAGTAACGAGAGGAGCGAGCCACAGACCAGTACGATCCTCGGAACCCGACCAGAAAGAAGAAGAAAGGAAGGCCTTTAGGCGAGTTTGTCTATTTGGCACGACCGAAAAGGCGGAGAAAACGGGCAGCTCATCCGTGTATATACAATTGGGGACCTGCTATCCATGACCTTGGAAATTAGCTTAAAAGTGGTGAGTCACAGGAAAATGGACCAATGAGGGTTGAGTATGGCCGGTAGTGCGGGAATGAGTCTTTCCTGGAGCAAAAATCCGGAAATTTAAATTTTTAAATAAATAGAAAAACAGGAAAAAATATAGGAGATAGTCACTTTTAGGGTGAAGAACGTGGTTTACACATCAGTTACAATTGAGGGAATGGAGAGTGAACGGTTTACGAAGAGGAATAGCAGATATTCTTGTGTTTTTATCGTACACCTTTTGCTGTTTTGTGTACTTCAGACAGCATGAGATCTCAATATGCAGAACATGCAGCCCTCGTGCCACTAATTTTTGTCCTGGTCTGTATCTCACCGCGTATATAACCAACCACATTCCTCATCCTTGGGATTCAAAAAAGAAAAATGAAAAGGCTCAAACGAAATGAATATCGAAGCTGATTTCTTCGTAACTCTGTGATCTCATGGTCTGACCACACCGTTACTTCATCAGACCTTGAACAGCACATGCAATGATAACAGGGAAAGGTACACGTTGAACAGGCATGCATCAAACCAGAACAAACCATCAGAACTGGTGTGAAGCGATTTATTCTTTCAGAGAACGACTATCAACGTCCCATACACACGATGGTAAATCTCGTCAGCGCTCACCCGAGGTGCCCGTCAGATACAAGCAATGCCCTGAAGACATTGCTGGTTGAATACGAAAGATCGATTGGCATTTTCAGTATATAGCATGTGTAATCAAGACAAAAGAGTTGTCGGATCTATTAAACAACCAAATTTGAACAAAGTTCAAACTCCGTTCGGTCCGAAAGATATGCCCAGCTGGAGAGCTCTGATAGAAGTCCAACTTTAGTCCGGTTCCCTTCGAATGCATGACTGACTTGCTAAAGTGATAATTCTACATGAAGATCTGAAGCCCTAAAGATGATCAGTCATAATTAAAAAACGTTAAATAACCTATTTTCCGGTAATGACTTTTAATTGTTTCTATTGTAGTTCGATTGTACAGGTCGTCCGGTCCAAACTGTACTGCTAAGCAAACAATGAGATGAATTTATATTAATTTATCAGAGGGTAGAAGAATAAACTTCTGTATCTTGTTCCCGTTGGTGGTACAAAAGCTCTAAATGTTGTGACTTTGTAGTTGTTCAGTCTAAATTTTATGCGGCTATTTCTACCTGCGGAATGACCAGGTTTCATGGTTATCTCGGATAGCAGTGCGTCACGAACGGTAGTCTGAGGATAGATCAATGCAGATTAAGATACCCAACTCGATTCCCTCTGAGTGTACTGTTTAGGTTAAAATTCGAGAACTCCGTTTTTAGCACCCGTCGACATTGCAAACCTGGAATGCCCCTTTGAGCGGGACGCCTCCTCACGGGTTTCTCTTTTGGGAAAGGTGAAACATGAATCAACGTTAGTGTGATTGACTTTTCCCTTTTCAAATTTTTGTGTTCGTCATCTATCACTCCCATGTGCTTCGTTGGCTCTCCGAAGACACCGGTGGTGGAACATGTTCGGCACGCAGCCATCCATATAACACTATCTCCCACTCCAGAACAGGATTTGTGGTAATTTGGAAAATAAAAAGTTGGTTGCGAAGCTTTTTTACCGAGTGTTGCCCGTCTCGCGAACTTTGTACAGATCCTCTTCTTATGTTGTCTGTTGGCAAATGTAAACCTCTTTTTACTTGACCACATGGAAGAATCGAGGAGTCTGGATGAACAAAATTTAACCCTACTGTTATTGACCGTTAGTGTGCAGTTACCACGTGAACTAGGTATCACGCGCAAAGGACAATCTGTTATTTTAGTCCTTAAATCAACCATATTTGAAAAGTGTCTAGCTCGATTTCGAGCCGATTCAAGATTAGCCAGTTTATGATTCACGCTAATAGTATCCCCATTTCCGGAACAAAGATGGATTTGAGGCTAACTTTTAACGATCAGTGGTGAGGTGTGCCTATCGCAGTTGTACGGTACTAATGACTGATTTCGTTCTTACGGGTATAGGATTATCAATGTTCACTCAGTAAGTTCAGTGCATGGAAAACTGATAAATGTGGGCTGCCAAAAAGGTTTATCTTTACTACATTCTGTACTGGAGTCAACATTGTGTCTTGCCGTTCACAGTTACTGTGTTCACCACCGTAATCGATTTTCTTTCTCATTTATTACCATTTGCAATAATGGCTGATATACTTTTGTTCTTTTATGCCATTATACGCCATTTCGAACTTGGTAAAGTTCACTACATGTTCGAAGGATTTCATTTTCTTTCTACGTAATGGTCTAAGAATCAGTAACCGGTTTCTTCACCCACGAGATCTTGATTGGTGAATATGCACTTGTTAGGTTTACTCCTCGATAAAGTGAATGGAACTCCTAATTTCCATATTATTGTCCGCGTTAAGCGCGTTGAATAAAATACATCATTTTGTTATGGATTCGATTGCGCTGATTGAGTAGGATGGACGGAACAACCCTTGCACACGCAGTCTATCTCAGGAAAGTAAGCCGCTAGTGATGTATTCAAGCAATACTAACAGATGAATGAAAATTTGGTCTTCTGTCAGTTAAATTCTAGATGAGTAAGTCTAAAGGTATCGGGATACGCCATTCTTATATCACTGATCGGGAACTATCAGATTATCTAGTTTTGTTGGGATTTACCAAATCGCCTTTTAACCGAGGAAAAACATCGGATGGGGTGGATGGAAGAAAGTTTCGAGGGCAAGATAGATTGGCCTGAGTAGGATGGTCTACACTAAAATCAAGATTCAGTTGTCCCATGTGTACAGTTAGCGATCATGACTTCGTGAAAAGACCAACTGTTTTGTGTGCTATTGACAATCTAGACCATAGAAAGCCATTTGGGAAGGCGTAGATGACACATAAGGGAACTGTGAAAAATTATTACAGCGAGATTAAACTGACCGTTGTCTTTGTGTGTAGAATTCAGAAATAACCTCTATCCGGGAAGCTGTAAACAATGAAATATATGATAAGCACTCGAAGACAGTATGGTTGCTGTCGTTGCGTGAGAATATTTAATGTCAGTTGAATTATTGAATATTTACAAGTAAACTGTGTGTATTGTGCTTGCTGACCGCCAAATGTTTGCCTATTTTAGCCGAACCCAATTTCTTTGTAAATTACATGTACACAATGAACACAATGATTCATTTCATTACTATTCCTATTATT